ATCACTAATGTGCTCTTTCTGTCACGGGCAGGTTTTAAATCCCAAGAAGAAAGGCAAAAAAAAGAAATACATCAATTCTGGAACTGTGAGTGCACCCACGTCACCCATAACTGCCTGTCATTTCCTCTGTATTGCTATTTACTGATGTCTTATAGAATCATATAGTAGTATAGGTATCATCACCTCTTACATCTGCTTCTTTTCACTGGCTGGCCACCTGTTTAGTTTTTTTTTGCCTTGCCTTGGTCCCTCTCCCACCGTCCTGTTCTGTTTATCGCTCTGTATGTGTTTTGGTATGTGTGTGTTTGCCAGGTAACACTGCTGTCCTTCAAAGTGGAGTCTGAGTATACCTTTGTGGATTTCATCCGAGGAGGGTGAGTAGAATAATAATTAGCCCGCGCTCACAGTGAGTGTCAACAGCCACCATTTTGAGGGTTTGTGTCTTTGTGCAAGTATCTCTCAAGATTATGTTTCCCAAAAGCATCATGCTGAGCACCACACTGAGCTCATATTGGCTTTGAAAGGGTGAAGCTTTGAGGAAGTCGGTGTTTGCAAATCTTATTTGTAAATAACTAATTTATTCAGTTCATTCACTTTTAATTAGCAGCTCTATTTGTTTTATCTAATTAGCGCTTCAAGATGGTGAAGGGAATATTGTCCTTCCATTCTAATTAGCTAGTTACCGAGACCGAGTTACAGCTTGTCGTGTTGGTAGAGTTGTGTGTTCGAAGGGTTTGTAGAGTGTTTGTCAAGTGGGCTAAAGTGCGTGTTACTCTTTTATGTTTCTTTTTATTTTATTTACCACAGAACACAACTCAATTTCACTGTGGCGATAGACTTCACCGCGTCTAATGGTAAGTCACTGCCTCACAACCATTTTGCTGTATTGTGATGTGTGCACATATTACTTTTTTTTTGACCTACCAAAAAATTTAAATACAATGTTTGTGCCATTCTTTGGTTTTCCCAGGAAAATACTCCTCTGCACTTACACCTATTAAGTAGCACCTATTAGCATGCTAGCAAGCAAAACTAATGTAGGGTACATGGTATGAACTTATTCTTAATATTTTGGTTTTGCCCTTGTTGGTATGCTCAAAAGCTCATGTGAGCATTTGCAAAGCAATACTTCACAGTATGTTGTGACTACAGTCTGTTTTGCTTTGGTTATGATGTGCTGCTAATCTGTAGTTTGGCGCAGATCAGCTGTTTCTACTGGATTCGATTCCTTACGTTAACCAAATCTAATCACCCACTCAATTTAGCTTCCTAACTGCAAATATTACTGCATAATAGCATTATTATTGTTTTTTAATAATAATATGAACTTACTTATATTGTATGGTATTACCTTCACCTCCAGCACTACTCCCAGGAACCTTGGAGTCCGTTTTGGCTAGGACATGTCCTTTAACTTCCATATTTAACAAAGAACTATGACTGCCTTCTTTTATCTGCAGAATATCGTCAACATGAGAAGCATCCTGTCTTAAACAGATGCTAAGAAAGCATTTGGTACTCTAGGTGGGACAACGCGCACTCTCTGAGTACAGACTTGCGATTCCTGGAGTTTCCAGAAGTCGAGTGGAAACAGCTTCCAGTTTGGGTTTAGGAGACAGCAATAAGGCTTTAAACTGTACTTGTTAATCAAGTTTATAGTGAGGGCTGGATCAGGTGACCGTTAACCATCCCTTAATGATGGTCCTGCTGCTACAGGCTAAAGCTGAATGGAGGCTTCCCACAATCCAGTAAGCATCCATTCCCCCTCCATTCACTCCCCATACACTTATATATATTACCTTTGCATGTCTTAAACTTGTTTTTGTCCTGTTTGTGCTCTTTATGCTTCTCTTTCCCTTCCTCCCCATCACTTGTGGCAGATGGCTAACCCTCCATAAGTCTTCTGACAGAGGTCTTCCTTCCCACTGTCATTAGGTGCTGTCCTATAGGGGCTCATGTTATCAAAATATAAAACTATTACCGGTGTTGGGGAGTAACAGAATACGTGTACCGCTGTTACGTGTTTAAAATACAAAATATGAGTAACTGTATTCCGTTACAGTTGCCGTTTAAAAAGGTGGTACTCAGAATACAGTTACTTTCTTGAAATACAGGGATCACACGGCGGTCTTTTCCTGTTTCATATGTTAGGCTGTCCCCTCTCTATTTTGGGTAATTCCACGCCGGTGGAAACCCAAACAAAACATACATTAAGAGGCTCTAATGCTCAACCTTGCGGCGCATGTCACCTCTACTTGCACAATGAGGTGACGAAATATTTTTTTAAATTATTGTTCAAAAAATGATTTAATATGAAGGCAATAGGCAGAGTGTTACAGGCATAGCCCTAAAGAATTTAGCCTCGTGGGCAGTATAGTCCAGTTGTAAGTAAGCTATTAAGACTCGACTGTACACCGTGTTCGTGTTTTCCTCCAAAACAATAAGTTCCGTTAGAGCAGCCTTTCAACGCCTCTCTCTGTCTCTCGCTAGCAAAGTTGACCCAGACAACAAAGTAAAGCTAGTTTTCGGCTATGAGCCCCACACGGAACCCGCCAGAGGTCCCTTTACTACGGTTCGCAGCCGCGGACCTGTTTTATATACCTACTGTTACTCATTTATGTTAAGATTATATTAATATTATATTAATATTAATATTATATTAAGATTTAAAAATCTAGTTGGTATTGGTATGGCGAGTAACCTTCAGTAATAGTAATAAATCACACAGCAATAGTACATTCATGTAGTTATAAAAAGCTTGATAACATATTAAGTAATCCAAAGTATTCAGAATATGTTACTGTCATTGAGTAACGTAACTGAATACTTTACAAAATACATTTTGGGGCATGTATTCTGTAATCTGTAGTGGAATACATTATAAAAGTAACCTTCCGAACACTCACTATTACTTTTAATCAAACTATGTAGTCCCTCGCAATTGATCTGCCAAGTTTGAGGTAGATCAGATGGACAGGTAAAAAGATGAGAAGAACAGACAAACAGACATACGTGGATTTATTTGTGACGATGTTAAAAAGCATTTTTACTCTGTCTGTTCTTTTGGTGTGAGCATTGTGGAGATTCCCATGCTTCAATCAAAAATATATTCTACTCCAGGTGCTCTTGACAAAACTGTACAAGCTTAAAACAGTTTAGTTTAAAAGCATTAAGCTGGAAGTGGTGGTAAATGTGCAAATCAGCTGTATTTAACAGAAGTCTGGATTCAGCACGAAGCTTGATTGGCTCTTGCTGGGGAAATGATATATGAGAAATGTGCCTTTATGCTACTTAATTAGCATGCTATTCAGTTATATCACCTCGTGTTTTCTCCTAACTGCAGTCTCCTCTGTCTGAAACTGTGCTTTCTGCTGTTAGACACAGCAAAGGTATTTCTTTCCCTAATATAATTTGACCCTTCACCTTTCATTGGCAGGTATACTCAACTTCTTGATGGTGGGTGCTGGATAGATTGTTACATTAAGGCTCTTATTTTCACATGATGGAACGTGCAGTCAACCGTGCAACGTGCACAGGGAATGGTGAATGTGTCTGGTATTTTCATGGCCAGAGGTGCACCTGCAGCACAGTTGGGAGCTTGATGGGATTAGGGGGAATACATTATCAGTGGGTGTGTGGGGAGCAGGCATCTGTCGTGGATAATCAAATCACCCCCCCATACCCCTCCCCTTCATCCCCTTTAAAAGCAGGGCACTCTGTTTAGAATGGAAGAGAGAGTCCAAACCACCTTATCCCAAGGGGGCAAAGAGAGAGCTGTCTTTTAGTCACATTCTGAGATCTTTATATGTGTGCAATAATTACAGCGCTAGCAATACCAATGCAATTTCTTAAGACATTTAGCATGATTGCATAAACTCCTTAATTCCCCATACAAAATCCTGTTTCCGTGAGTCTTTGATTTTCCAGAGATAAAAAGTGTCTTCTTTCCCTGCAACTATCAGATTTTACTGGTACACCCACAAGTCTTTACATAATTCATCACAGCCATAGCCTGTCTCTGTTTGCTGCATCGGGAAAACCTGAAAGAAGGAGATGAAACATATGGTATTTTCTTGGCATTGATCATCTCATAGTTTTCCACTGGTGATTTAGTGTTGCTTGTATTTTGCAGATGAAAACAAACCAGAGAGAAGGAGGCACTGTTCACTTCACATTGTGCTCTGTGTGCATGTGTGTTTCCTCTTCTAAGGTAACCCATCCCAGCCCACCTCCCTCCATTATATGAGTCCGTACCAAATGAATGCATATGCCATGGCACTGAAAGCAGTGGGAGAAATTATCCAGGACTACGACAGCGATAAGCTCTTTCCTGCCTATGGCTTCGGTGCTAAGCTGCCCCCCGATGGCAAAATCTCCCACGCGTTCCCGCTGGTAAGAAACACACGCACAGTTTAAATGTAGAAGGCAAATATGCACAGTTCATCTGTGGCAGGGTGTGCTGGACTAGAAGATGCGGCCGTGACACCAGCTGTTTGTACAAGTTGAGAAGTTGGCTCATCTGCCTGCCAGCAGGAATCTCTCAGGATCCGCTCCACTTCCTCCCGGCTCCCTCCCGAGGGGACAAACCAATAAAAAATCAGTGGCTATGAAGCTGAAGTACCTACCTGTGCTGTGAAAGTATTGATTGCTGCGGTCTTACAGAAGTGCTTCAACAGACAGGACAACTGCAGGATTTTTTTTTTTAAAAATAGGAAAACTTCTTAGAAATAACTACTACTTAAAAAAAATGCATTCATTTTTCTTTGATTCTATTGTTTTCTTTCTGTAACAATGTTTTTTGCATTTAACTGATCTCACTTCTTATGATCCAGAGTGTTTTAGCTCTTTCAGTTTGAAGACCACAAGGGCAACAGTCCTTTCCATTAAAAAATGTTTTTTTCCCCCAAAGACGCTGCAGTGAATGCAATCACCGCATATAAAAAGTTGGCAAGGGGAATCTGGCTGATCAAAGTGATTTAACATTTGGCATTTTTATCCATATGCCTTTCGTCACGCTGGTTAAAACTGGTTAATAACGGGAACAGAGACCTGACAGTTTCCCATCTGTTTCCAACCATGCATTTTTGGATCATATGTCAAAAAACTAAAAGAACAACTGAAGTTCTTGGACCTTGTAACCACTGAAACAGCAGCGCGCTGGTGATGTTTACATATATGCCAGGATGGGAGAAAAGTGCAGATTGTTGTATGTATTATTTACTATGTTACTGGTTGGAATGTTCCTGTGTAATATTACTGTTTGGAAGGAAAAGGACAAGAAAGTAGTTAGCATTTAAACATTTACAAAAAATGATGAGAGCGGATTAGCTAACATTTGCTAGCTCTTTAACACTGGTCCATCTGCTGTTGGTTTCAGGGTGATTATAGTTAGTGTTGTGAAGTAGTAGTGACAAAGGAGTAGTATTTTGATGTCCACATAACATGTAACTCATCTCCAGTGTTAGTTAAAATATTCCATCACTGATAAAAAGGGTGAATGTGCAGAATATAACACGCAGTGCCATGACTCCAGTTTTACAAGTCTCAGGCATCAAATCTGGTCAAAAATGACTTGCAGGTAGTAAAAAAAAAAAAAGAAGTTTCTTTTGTCCTTCTGGTTTCTTTAAAATGTGACATGATGTGGAAACTTTGAATAGAAAATATCTATCTGTGCTCATGTTTCATGTTGATGAATGCTTCAAGGACAGAGTGCATTTCCTAACATTTGTATGTGTTTTTGAAACCTTTAAAACTGGATACTTGCTGTTTGTGCCGGAGCTGGGCAGCTATGTGAGAAAGTAGCCAGTTTTTTAGTTTAAAGAGTGAAACTGACTCAGGTTGTAAATGTGTGTACTCTCTTTTTAAATGAGATTCTTCACCCAGTGATGAATCTAATCAGATTATAATCAGTTAAATGTAGATAGATTTGATTTTATCAAAGCTGACAGCAGCATGTCAAATGATCAGCCTGTGTACAATATTTAATATACACTATATGTGCACTGCATACTTCATAAGGGCAATGTCTGCTGTTTGTTGCAGAATGGTGACAATGATAATCCAAACTGTGTGGGCATCGAGGGAGTCCTGGAGACTTATTTTCAGAGCCTGAGGGCGGTGCAGCTGTATGGACCTACTAACTTTGCACCTGTTATCAACAAAGTAGCAAAGTAAGTTTGAAGATGGATGTATGCGGTAAAATATTATATTTTTAAGTAGTAGGTGTGCGTAGTTACATCAAATTAGTTTTTAATAATTGTAAATCCTGGAGAAAGCTATGAATTTGAGTAGCATTAAGATTATATATATATGTGCAATGCTGTTTGTGAAAGTTTGGAGGTCAGAAGTTTAGACAGGAGACAGCTGTGATGAGGAGTTAAATATCATTTTTTTATACAGGGATATATAATAATTAAAAAAATCTTTATAATCTCTTATATTAAGCTGCAAAAAACAGTAAGTCTAGGCTCCTGGGCTTTGTAGCTCTATGGACACCTATTTGGTTCATCGCATGTATAATTTGCGCAGCATGGCATTTTTTAAAGTTGAAATGAGCAGGGGAATTAAGAAAATCTGGTATTCTGATGTCCTCAGTAAGTACCAGTACTGATCAATCTGATGTTTGTACATCATCCTGGTGTTATCTGAAATCTGATGAAGGCAATAACAGTGGAGTCAAAGACTAAACAAATGACAAAAAAAACCATATTGTCACTTTGTATCAATATTTTTTATGACTTTGACACTTAAACACATTCAAAAAGTAAAAGCACTGGAGACACAGGAAATGTGTAAATCTTTTTTTTTTTAGTATTTCAGAATTTCAAGGTTAAGATTCTTTGTGCAAATAGCCGTTATATATATCCTGCATCGTTATTTCTGAAGTGGTTCCTAGATGTGTTACAAAAAAACGGGAAAGAAAAAGATTTTGCTGCCACAGTAAATTGCATGTTTTTGCTCTGGTTGTTCGAGCAGAACAGAATTTTGGACGTTAAAACTTACGTGCACTGAATGATCAGTTGTCATTTATATATCCCACCCTGTGTTGGAACGCCACCTGCCAAGCAGCAGAAGGCATTAAAGTGGTGCTAAGAGAGTATAAATAAAAAACTCACATACTCACAAAATCATCCTAGCAGTATGCTACAATCCCATTTATTAACACCACACCCACACACAATTACACACAAAGGCACAGAAACACTGACTGACACAGATTTATACTGTTTTCATCAACACAAAACAGGGAAGTCAGTGGTGATAGATTCTTCCCTCTAACAGTAAATTCACAAGCAGCAGGTAAAAAACACACGCAGACACATCCAGCTTGAAACTCATTTGGCTTCATATCGAGTTAAAGTTGATCTTTAGCGATGTGAGTACATACTCTTGTTTTCTTATCATTCCCCATGATGGACAGGGAATGAAGAGCAGTGGAAAAATGAGAAGCTCGGTTGCAGGATTTTATCTTTGGGGTGCTTGTTATTATTAAAAGGTTTCTGGCTCAGGGTGTGAGTGGATGGGTCGCTATGCTGCGTGGAAGATATGAAGTCCACTTTTTATTGCAGTAACTGTATATAGTTTAAGTCTGTATTGTGTTATAGAAAGGCAGGATTGTGTAAGAGAAATAGTAGTCATTGTCAAGCATATTTTGCTAACATTATCCACCATAAACATCGGTCATATTAGGTATCGGCAAAACTTTAGCATTTATTTATTTTTTTGTTATTAAAAAAAGTCATTTATTAGTGTATCCCTTTGTAAGCGCTACAGAGCCTAAAGTAGAGATTAAAATAGGAGCTAAAATGCCTTATTTCACACAGAGGATGAATTGAGGCTCAGGATAATATAAATTAATCTTTTTTCTGTTTCTCAGCTGGTAGAGCAGGGCAGCTACTAACTGGAAGGTTGTTGGTTTGATCACAGTGTGCTCCAGTCTTTATGGAAAGTATCCCTGGGAAAGGACCCCCATGTTTCTCTCCATTGCATCCATCGGAGTATGAATGTGTGAGGAAAGAGGATGTTAGATAGGAAGCACTTAGAAACAGCGTAGAATGGGTGAATATACAAGTTGTGTAAAGCGCTTTGAGTGCTCAGATAGAAAAGTGCTAAATCAGTCCAAACCAGTTCATTTACCATCTACAACAGAAAGTAGAAAACGGGCCATTTAAGTGGTCTTTGTGTCCAGGCAAGCTGTTTGAAACTTTCAAATCTATTATCAGTTCAAAATGTGTAAAAAGAAATTTATGAAGCTGACATTTTCAAGTTTAGTGTAATTCATGATTTCAATTCAAAATAATTTATATTTTGCATTTATATTTTGAAACTGCAGTTTCCTATGGGACTAAGGCAAGCATGTATCCAACAGCAATAGTCAACATGGCAGTAATTTAAAGAATGGATGACACGTTTTATGACAGAACGATCACTTTCACTCTGGTTCTTTATAACTGTCTGTTTTTGCATTTGACTATTTGATTATTATTTATTAATGTTCTACAGGAGCATTAATAATTCTATATAAGCTCTCAATAAATTTTGTTTTGTGTTTTTTGACAAAGCTTGAATCAGTCTCATCTGCAGCTCATTGCCCCGAAAACAGACAGGCCTTCTTATGTTTTCTTTGCACAGATTATTAGCTTTAACCTGTGTATTTCTATGTGTGTGTCTATGTGTGTGCGTGGGTGTCCGTGTGTCTGTCTGTGCACATTCCCCAGCTGTGCAGCAGAGATTACAGATGGCTCTCAGTACTTTGTCCTGTTGATGATCACAGATGGAGTGATATCTGACATGGTCCAGACCAAAGAGGCTGTGGTCAATGTGAGTAAACAAACACCACATGTATACAACTCCCTTGCATGCATGTGTTAAAAATTAAAGCTGCAGGCGTACTGATGAATAACAGCCCTCTGTGACCCCACTGACTCTCCTGCATGTGGGGTGAGGATAATGTTTTTACATTGTTTGGATAAAAACAATTAGCATTCTTTGGTAAGAGCCTCTAAGTGAAGCTTTTCTTGAACAGAGGGGAGTTTTTTTCATCTTTATTGACGTAGTGTTTGAAGAGGTCAGTAATTTCAGTAACCCATCAAATTAATTTTTAAGCAGTGTTTGGTTGGGTTCTGAGGTTTCTCAAAGCACACAGTGTAGAGCATTAAAAGCAAGCTCTCTGTTATTGTCTTCATCCTAATTACCTAATCACGCAGTGCAAAGTAAATTTCTCAGGTCATTACTTTAAATCACAAAATGTAGGCTGCTGCATCAGGTTAATAGCCTCACCCAAAACAAGATAAAACGTTTAACAAGTGTGAATCAACATTTAATTTCCTGCTTCTCACCCGTGGCTTTAAAAATCTAATGAGTTAATGTGGATCATCTTTCCTTTTGTCTGAACAGGCGGCATCACTCCCTCTTTCCATTATCATCGTAGGTGTTGGGCCGGCTGAGTTTGATGGTAAGTGTTTGGGTATACTAACAGGGTCTATTATTTATTTTATGGCTAAATGTGAAGGTGGAAAAAAAGGCCTATCCTGCCTGTTTCCATGTCACAGTAGATGATTTTCCATCCATGTTTTTATGCACATTTTCAATTTGCCCATAAAAATTGCAAAGAAGTTTTTTTGCCTCATAGAGGTGGATGAATGCTCACTCATTATGTGACAGATGACCAGCCCCTCAGCAGCTGAGCCCTGGTAATTTGCTTCATGTCGTTCCCCCTCTCCTCTTCCTCAACAGTTCCTGTCTGTCTTTACTATAAGATGCCTGAAAAAAGAAGCAAAACCCAACCAGTTATAAGCCTTTGACTGAAATCTGTATCAACCTGTCTCTTTGCTCCTCACCTATCTTTTTGTGCGATTGCTTCAGACTCACCATAAAAGCCCCATGACATTTGAGAGATTGTGAAAAAATGAGAGGCAGCCAGCAAGCTCTACCTACCGACCAATATTTCATAGGTTTTTTTGTTGTTTTTTGGGAGGGTTACTTGTTAGATAATGTGACAAAGGACTTCAGTTACTCTATCATTTCTTTTGGACAGCATTTTCTTGAGAAAGCTGTTTAGCCTCCTGTGCGTCCCAAATCTCAGTGCTAACCTCGTTACGCTCATACACTAATTTGCAAATTTTGCATTGTCATGTTTTTAAGACCTACTGTTAATAATTAGAGATGGACCGATCCGATATTACGTATCGGTATCGGTCCGATACTGACCTAAATTACTGGATCGGATATCGGAGAAAAATAAAAAATGTAATC